AGAGCAAGAGGCCAAAATGAGCTTAGCAAGGTGAAAAAAATTCAGATGGGAGCTCTGCAAGGCAAAGCACTGAACTTAACTCTGTGCATTTAAGTGCACAGAAACAGAGGAAATGCCCCCCATCCACCTGAAAGCGGCTGGGAGTGACAAGTTGACTTGCAGGATCTGCAGAAGGAAACCAGGAATGGCAAAGTGGGTTTTCACAGGAGATCCAGCCAGCAGAAAGCAACCCCAGATCCTTGGGGCCAGCAAACACTGCCCCACAGGAAAGAGCTGGAGGAACCAAGGCTCTGCAGGGTGGAGGGATGGTGAGAGACAGGGTCTTGAGTGAGTGGCTTAAGTTGCACTGAAGATCCAGGAAAGGAGCTTCCCCCACAGCCATGTCATCCTGCCAGTGATCCTTGCAAACAAAGCCCATCTCTGTTGGACAACCACACTTAGAACCTTGACACTGAGCCACGGCCAGGGGCAGTCATGCTTCAGGGATGCACCAAATTTAGGGTTTTTCCCCCCCATCCAGCCAAAGGCCAAGGAATGGAACCCAGGAGATGCCACCTCACAGCAGGAGATGCCTCGACAGATGCCCCCAGGGATGCTCTGCCAGGGTGGGGCCTCAGCACCAAAGGACCCATACCACGCCCAGAAGATGCCAGCACAGTTGGAAACATGCCCCAAGGGGTGAGACATGCAAATATCCATCCCCTAAGTGTCAGATTTTCAGATGCCATTTCTTAGGAGAACCCAAAGGACTCCGCAAAAAGGATGCTCACAGCCACGGGTCCACGCTGGATGCTCATAAAGAGGAGAGACCACAGGGAGATGTGTGGACCTCCAGGGACAAGGTGGCTTGTCCTCCAGCAGTCTGAAAATGAGAGATGCAGCACTGCAAAAAGCTCCAGGCACATTCCCAGCATCCTTGCCACTTGGGGGGTAGCTGAGAGGAGAGCCCCCCCTCCAGGGCCCCCAGGAAAGCAGAAAGCACCCACTTTCCAGCACATCCTCTGAAACAGATGAGGAAGCAACCAGGAGCATCTCTCCACAGTGCACAGCAGCAGGCATCCTGCAGCCCCCCTTGATCCATGACCCGCCTCATTCCCCTCCTCCTCCAGAGCCTGCTGGCTGCCCTGGTTTTAATCCCACAGGCAGCATCATCCCAATAATTTCCCTCCATTTTCAATCTACTTCCCTCCATTTTCAATCTACTGAGCTGGGGGCAGTCCACAAATCCCTTCATCCTGAGAGCAAAGCAATCTACTGCTTCATCTCATCCCATCTCCCTGTCTCTAATCCCTGGAAACAGGGATGAGACTTGGAGCACATGGGCTGCCCCGGAGGGGTCTGTCCAGGCGCTGGTGGACAGAAAGACAGGGGGCTGGGGTTGCTCTCATGAATGCCACCCAACTTCTCAAAGCACCTGGGGCACCTAGCCTGATCCAGGGATGGGGCAACAGCTGCCATGCCAGGGACACAGGGGACAGATTGGGTACAGCATCGCCCTGCTGGTCCCATCCATGGAAAACGCGTGAGGGTGACAGGGAAGCCACAACCAACCCAGTCCCACCAATCCCCGCTGGATCCAGTGCTCTGCTCACGCCGTTTCTCCACAGAGCACAAACACACGACTTCCATCCTGGCCATGGGTGCCCTTTGGGAATGGGAAGCTGATGGGAGATGTTGGAAGAGAGACTCTTTTCTCTCCCTGCCTCGGAGAAGCAACCTGGCACTCCAAGAGGATCAGTCGGGGCGCAGACTAACGCCACCCTTCCTTTTCCAAGCATCCATTGGCACAGGGCTGGAGGAGGAGGAAGGGGGGGGTGATCCCACACCGAGGGCCACCACAGCGTCCTGCCTGACACTGTCCCCAGCCAAAAGCACCCCGAGGAGGGGGGTGCAGGGGTGGTGTGTGGCACGGCTGTGTGGTGGCCGTGCCAGCGGAGGAGCCGGGCTGTGCGGTCCCCATCCCACGCTCTGCGGTGGTGCCGCTCCCCGGGTTCGGCTTGGGAGGAGGAGGAGGAGGAGGAGGAGGAGGACGGGGGGCCCTCGGCATCCGGGGGTGGATCGCTGCTGTGCTGCGCTCAGGCTCTGACAGCAGGCTCCAAAACTGTCACTCCCGATCTGTTTTCACTTCAGCTAAACCTCAGCCCCGATTAAAATCAAGGAGAGCCGCCTTCCCCTCTCCCCTTCTCCCTATGGTAGGTCCTCTGTAACCTCGGGTCTCAACGCGGAGCCAAACCCCGGCGAGGGAACGGGTGAACTGGCTCCGCTGGGGATTGGGGCTGCTCCAGGAGGGGTCACGGCTGCCCCTGTCCCCAAACCTGGCCCTGGCAGCGAGGGCACAGCCACTGCAATGGTTCTATCCCTGTGAGGCTGTGGGTTCCTGCCAAAATCCAGGGGGGATACGCCACTGATGCCACGACCTGCCTCTGCCATGGGCGGTATCCAGGCAGCTCCGACGCTGCATCCACTGGGTAGAGGGGGTCGTGTGCCAGCGGGGTGCACCCACTGCCGACTGCCAGCTCATTCAGCAAAACCCAAACCAAATACAGAAATTAAACCAGATACTTGTGTGTGTGTGTGTGTGATCTCAGCACCGGGATGGATGCATTCAGTGGGAAGCTGGAAGAAAGCTCAATGCCAGGACGGAGATAGCCCTTTACCAACTGCTGAAGCCTTTAAATTTGCTTTCCAACTCAGCTGGCCAAAAAGCAGCTGCAGGGAACTGGCAGACTCATGTCACATGGGCTGTCACCCACCCTCATCCTGCAGGATCGGGGGCCCTCCATGGCAGAGGTTTCTAAACCCACAGGGGTTTAGAACCACCCTCTTGCTTCTCCAAAGGCAGACACAGACTGGAGCCAGGGCTCCAGGTGTTCTGCTGCCAGTGGGATCAAGCTCATCCCAGTGTGCCAGGCATGTGTCCCCACGCCACAGGGAGCCCCACCACCGGCAAGGTGCCCCCTCCGCGTGCCCCACAGCGAACACCCATTTTCCAAGAGGGTACCTGAGGAAAAAAAAATTAAAAATCATCCCCTGAGAAAAGCAATTCCGGAACCACCGAGGCTGGGAGGGAACCAGCATCGCTGGCTGGTACCCAGCGGAGAATCCCACAAGGTGGGGGGTGGGCATCTCCCCGTGCCTGCCCCCTGGTCCCCTCTGCTGCCACCCCAAATGGGTGCTGGTTTGGTCCTCCACTGATCCCGACCACATTCCTCTTTCCCCATCCTACACCCTGAATTCCTGCGGCTTCCCTATGGCATTTTAAACTAATTAAAATAACGTTGAAAGCATTTAAAGCGGGATTTTTTGCCTTCTGCCCTTTTTTTCCCCACTCCAAATGACCTTTTTTTTTTCCTTCGGAAATAAATGTCCTCTTAATTCAGCAAGATTAAAAGAACATCTTTTTATGGTTATTTCCCAAGAAGAAAAATTTGCTAAACACTAAAAATATTTATATAAGTGAATCTACAAAAGGAGGAGGGAAGTCTGAGATTAAGAGCTTCGAAAATATTACCGAATTATTTTGGAATTCTGTATTAAGAGCAAAAACCCCAGCTATTAGGAAAAAATGCCTTTCCTTTTTAATTCAGGGTTGGGTTTCTGTATCAAAATGCAGCCCAGCATCTGTCCTTGCATCTGTCAAAACAAAGGTCAATCATTTTATGGAAACTTAAACACAACGTCCTTGATCCATGGTCTCTTGTTTATTTTTAAGCCAGATGTGACTTCCAGCTAATAAAATCAGATTTTCTAAGATGGTTCACATTCAGATTCCGTTATCCCAGAAAACTCAGGTTATGAGAAAAATACATCCAAGACTATTCTCCCTTTATAAGAATGAGACGATACTTCAGGATGGATTTCAACAGCTTTTAAGTCCTCTATACCCTTTGCAACTAATATTTCATTTTTCTACTTATAAAGGGAAGATGTAACCAAAGAAAACGCAACAGAAACGCGATGGCATCAGGAATTCAGGTTTCCTAAATGGGTAAATGGGAAATGGGAAAATGGGTATCCGAGGGGTATCAGAAAACAAAGCGAGCATCATACTAAAAGGGGTTCCTCTCTACAAATCAGATTTCCCTGGCAAAATGGAAAAATAAAAAAATAATGGGAATAGGATGGGATTAGGAAATGAAACTATTTTTAAGATTAAAAATTAATGGAAGTGGAATGGAATTAAAGATCAAAATATTTAAAAAACATACTGGAAATAGAATGGGATCAAAAATAAAAAGATTAAAATTATGGAAATAGAGTGGGATTAAAAAGTAAAAACACTTTTAAAAAACAATGGAATGAAAGCAGAAGGTAAAAATCAAATGAACCAGAACTGGGGGTTTTATCACGTTGCCAGCCTAAGACATGATTAACATCTCCGTTATATTTCAGTCTCTGTTTCTCGAAGGCAATTCCATTTGTGCCATTCCCACCCAAGCGCATACACAAATGACACTGTCCAAAGCCTGAGTTGTAAATCACCGAATTTAGGAATAGCTGGATACTCTGGTTGAGGCAGAGATGGACTCTTCCCTAAGCAGAATCTTTGGCATTAGCTGCCAGACACAGGTAAAAGGGAACTTGATTAAAACAAAGTATGTACCACGGGAACGAAAATTGTGCGGAACAAACTCGCAACAATATTTTTTTCAAAATTCACCAAAAAAAAAAAAAATATATATATATTTGGCAAAAATAATTTTTCAGTGCCATTTTGCAAATACCTCCCAAAGACAAGACTCGGCGAGCAGTTGCTAACTTAGGGGGGACCCCGCTGCTCCAACGTCTCCCATAATCTCACCTCCCTCCGCCACACACTTAAAATTTCCCCCTACATGAGATTCACTTAAAACCGCTCTCAAGCACCCAAAGCTCTTCCGACCCGCACCGGAGCCCTAGACCCAACTCATCCCGTGGTCCTTCCCTGATTCTCACCGGCAGGAAAAGTTGCCCGCAGCGGGTGGTCTTCCACCCAAGGCGATCTTTTAAAATCTCCTTACCTTCTTCCCCAAAGAGCCGCTCTCGTGCTGATCCGGCGGGAGGGGGGTCCAGACAGATGGCCAGCCTTTTCACGTTTGGAAAGGATGAAAAATGCTACGGGGGGAAAAAAAAAAAAAATCCCAGTGATTTTTTTTTTTTTCTCCTTTTTTTTTTTTCACTCCGCCGTTCGGCGCAGAAGGGCTCCCAACCTCATTGGCCCTGGGAGATCCACCACGTGGCACAGGATGAAGAGCACGTGACCTATTTTCTCCCAAATCCCCGGGTTTGCTGGAAAGGGGGGATGCATTTTGTGGGCTTTGATTTATTTATTTATTTCTATTATTTTATTTATTTTTTTTTTTAAAGGCCACTGAGCAAATCTGGATGCCTCGAGGCGATGAGGGTGAAGTAGCCAACGCTTCCAACGTGAAGGAGGAAGGAGCTCGGCACGAGACGAGCGCCAGTGCACTGCCCTGTGTGCAGGGGAGAAAATTTGGGCACGCTTTATAGGGTGCCTGCCCACCCACTCCAGAGACAGAGCCTCTGGGAGGGAGAGAAGGGCTCTGCTAAACCCTCCATCTCGGAGGCAGCAGCACAGTGGGAAGGACCAGGCTGAAGCCCTGCCTGCACATCCCAGAGTTCAGCTGGCTCCCTGGAGGAAGGATTAAAAGCAGTGGAGGGAGTGTGGCACACTCTGGGTGGCATCTCCTGTCTCCACTGCCCCGTGGCCATGCCAGGCTCAAAGAGCATTTCAGTGTGTCCCCCCCATAAACACTCCCCAAGCCCAGAACACAGCACAATTCTGGGGATGTTCTGCCCCAAAAAGGTCCCTGAGACCTTGCAGAGCAAGGAAAACCAATCCACCATCAGTGCCCAGACATTCAGTCTGGGGAAGGGAAAAGGAACTTCTGAGCCCCAGACTTTCTTGTGTTGTTTTCCACCAAATCTTAAGCCCACAGGTTCACAGCAGTTCAAAGCTGTGCTTTTCTGGCAACCCAAGCCTCCACTTGGCTGTGCCATCCTGCCATGACAGGGATACCTCCTCTGCCAATGGAAAGCTCCAAGTCAATCTACCTCTGGCATCTGCCCTGGGATGTCAGTGATGTCACTTCAGCAGAGCAGCAGCCACCCCATCACCCAAGGGCTCAAGCCCTTCTTATCCAGGGATAACCTCAGTGTCTTGGAGACCCAGCTGAGCTTGGGCTTTGGTGAAACAGCCACGGACACCTCCATCCCTTCTTAGCACTACCACCCTGTCCCAGCTGTTGGTTCTTCCTGCAGATGTTCCCCCTCCACAGCTCTGCACGGGAACAGGAAGGCATCAGGAGCACAGCCCCTAATTCCAGGTTCTTCCCAAAGATGGTCTGCCTCACCATGCTGCTCCCAAAACCACAAGTACAGCCAAAACAAACCCACCCCAAACAGTGCAAAGAAGCGCAGAGTTTCACCCAAATCCCCTCTGGCTCAGAAGGTCACGCTTCTCCAGCTGCCAGCCAGACCACAGGGCATTTAATTCCAACAAATAGAGATTGAGGGAGAACTTTTCCATACTCAGATGCAAACTACAGACACAGCCCAAAGCACTCAGCTTGCTGCTTCCCCTCTCCCACATTTTCCAATGGCCAAGGTGCAAAGGGAGAGAAGAAACCTGAGCAACCTGGTCTAGTTTAGGGTGTCCCTGCCCATGGCAGGGGATTGGAATGGGATCATCTTTAAGGCCCCTTCCAACCCAAAACAGTACACAATTCTGTGATTCCATGACCCACACCCCCCCACCTTCCAGCCCCATCCTCCTTCCCTGGCGATGGATGCCCAGCTAAAGCTGGCTCCCCAGTAATCTTCCCAATAATTATATAATAGAGAGGCAGGCGGATAAATCATTTCAGGCCGCTGTGCCGATAGAAAGCAAGCTGGATTAAAAGATCAGAACGAGCAATACTTAGATTAAAATGGTTTGTTATTTTCAGCTGCTGGGGAGAAAAAAAAAAAAAAGGAAAAAAAATCTGCGGCTAAAGCACGGAAGACGTGAAGGGAAGGCGCATCGCCTTCCTTGCCCCAAAACCCCAAGCTTTTTATGTATTTGCCAAGGCAGATCCTAAGCTTCCAACCTGAAATCAGGCTTTGCTTCCCAATGGGTCAAAAAGACATTTTGGCAGGTTGTATGGCACTTTAGCTAAAGGCCAAGAGCGACGCAGAGGTGCTTCGAGTTATATTTTGCCTGCATCGAGACATCAGACCCCTCAAACCGGGAGAGCTGGTGCACAGCTTGGCAGACAAGGTCACCACCTGCCAAAAAACCTGACTTCTGGCACTTAACAGGCAGCAGCAACACCTTTGCCCTGTCCTGTGCCTGCCTCCCGCGCCCCCGAGCTGATGGCAGGCAGATGCCAGGCTTACCGGCAGCAGAGAGGCGGCGGTGGCAGCTCTGGGAGAAGCCCTTCAGACAGCGGGACAGCTCTCTGCAGGGACCTATATGTTGTCCCCCTGGCCCCCAGCAAGGTCGGTGGCCTGGGGTGCCACGCTCTGACTGATGGCTTTGGAAAGGCGTGAAGGGGAGGCAGGAAAAACAGGGTGAGAGAGAGGGAGCTGGCGCCGGGGCCGAGCTCTCCGCAGGGCATGGCGCTCATCAGCCGCGGCCCGGATCGATGAGCGGGCTCTGCTCGTTCACCTTCAAGTTCAGATTAAGCAGAAGGGTCAAACTGGGGAATGGCTTGCCACTGGAGAGCACAGCCCCAGTCACCACGCTGCAGCCTCGTGTCACAGCCTTTTCCCCTTGCTGGAACGGGCGATTCCCACCCCAGCACTTTGCTAAGCCCACGGCGTCCCCAGCTCCCAGCATCAGCTCAGCCCATCACCTGGATGGGAAGATGGAGCAGCAGAAGTTTTACCCAGTGCAAAGTGGTCTGCAAAACCAGAGTCCTAGAGTATATCTGAGTAGGAAGGGATCCACAGGGATCGAGTCCAGCTCCTGGCCTGGCACAGGACAACTCCAAGAATTCCACCCTGTGCTCTCACAGGTGTCCTTCCCAGCTGGAGTTTTTCTATAAAACAGTCACGGTACCACACACACACAGCCTCAGTCTTGAGTTCTGAGGATGAAATCCCAAGGGGCAAGAAATCCAAGACACAGCATTGAGGGGGGCTTGGACAGCCAGGCACCAGGCTCCTCTCCCACCTGTGGATATGGGAGAGGGGCCAGGACACAGGCCTGGGAGAAGAGATGGGATGTTGGACAGGGAGCATGAGAAGGTAGAAAAATTATGTCAGAGATCTTCCTGGAGGGAGGTGAAAGCCACAGGATGTTGTGACTTTCACCCAACTGAACAATAACTTTTCTAATAACCACTTATTGCAAAAAAGTGTCTTCACTAAAGCCAGAGAATAAAATGCACTTTCTGGACAGTCTGGGGACTTGGTCCCAGACTGGACACTCAGCTGCCCCAGAAAACACATGTCCTGGTTTTCCTGGGGTTGGTGATCCTTTTCCCAAGACTTGCTGTGATCAGGGAGTTGCCGGTAAGCAGGGAAGAGACAGGGACCTCCAGGGATGCACTCCCAAGTGCATCCTTCCTTCAGCTCATGGTTTCCAGGTCACCCTCCACCCCAAAAATCCCTCTACAGCTGGATGTGTTTGTAAGAGGATGCCCATAGCAAGGCAGAGCTGCAGACAGAGACCTCAGGACCGGACATAACCAGTACCCCCACATCACCAGACCACGGATAAACCCCATCACAGTTTTTTTTTTGGCAAATTCCACCCTTCCTGCGCCTTACTGGGTCACCTGCAGCTCCTCTGAGAAACCTCCATCCCCCTTTTCCAAAACACACCATCCTGTTGCAGGTGCAGGGTGTCGCTCTGGCCAACGCAGAAAACGGGAATAAGGGACACTTTCAAAAGGAAAAAGGGAGAAGAGAGGGGTGGATTTGTCTGTCGCTACAACATTTCTGCTTTATGGAGCTTCCCATCTCCCCTGGAGATGCGTGTCCTCCTCTTCGCTGACGGAAAATGCTGCCCCACCACCCATTCGTGCCGCTCAATGCCGGGGACAACACGATGGCCCCGGGCCAACACGGATCTATTTTAGTCACAAAAGCAGAGTGGCTGATGAAAATCACCCCGCCTGTGCACTTCCCGGCCTAGCTCTTTAGCTGGCTTTAATGGAATGACCGACGTGGTGGAAAGCGGGCAGTGGGGGCAGAGACGGCGGGATGGGAGACCTGCAGAGACGCATGAGAGAGGCCCAGCATCCTCCCTGTTTTAGAGCCTAAGGTTGCTGCAAAGACCCCTTCCAGGATTTTCCCAGAGAAGCTGCAGCTGTCCCACCCCTGGAAGTGTTCGAGGCCAGGTTGGATGGGGCTTGGAGCAACCTGGACTAGTGGAAGGTGTCCCTGCCCATGGCAGGGGAGTAAAACAAGACAGTGTTTAAGGTCCCTTCCAACCCGAACCATTTTGGGATGCTCTGATTTGGAAAGAGACTGAACCGACCCTTACCTTACCCTGCAGGATGGCCTCGAGCTCCAGAGTGATTCCTGGGAGGGCCTGGCTGCATCAGAAAAGGGCATGCTGAGCGTGGGGGGTGGGAACCCAGCAGTCCACGGCCTGGGCCTGCAGAGCAGGACACGGCACAGGTTAGCACGGCGCAGAGGAAGGACACCCAACACCTGCTTAATGTGAATTTCAGAGAGAAATAAAACATAGATTGAGTTTGGGAGGTGGTGGGGGCGGGTGGTGTTAAAATAATCAGGAGCATCACCTCCAGGTTGTGTTCGGGGTAGGTAAGCCCCACCTATATTTTTCTCCACATTCCAAACAGGTTTGGGCAGATCCTTCAGCGTCCATCAAGGGAAATCACCCCAGAGTGCTGCGCTGTGGAGGAAGGGGTTGCCTGGGAGCCCCCCAGGTGAACACAGCCCCGTGGTCCAGCTGTGGAGGGGCAGCATGAGCCAGGGGTCTGCCTCACCCAGAAATCCGACCGTGATAGAAATCATCCGGCACGTTCCAGTGACATGGGGTGCCGGGTTATTTTTGCTGCCGTGTTTTGCTGCTGCTCCCAATAAGTTAACTGGGGCATGCACTGCCCGTCAATACAATCAATGGAGCAGCCTGAGCTGCTAATAAATCAAGGGCCAGAGGGCAGGAAAATCTCTCCATTGCCTAAAATATTCCCCGGGCAGCAGGGTGGGTGAGCTGCAGACCCCACTCCTCGCTTGGACTTGGTGCTGCTCTTAATGTGCTGGGGCAGCTTGTGTGTTAACAGGGAAAGTCTTCCTCTTCCTGGTGACTCAGCAACCTCTGTGCTCGTCCCCAGTGACCTGGGCACCTCCCTGCTATGGGAAGGAGCCTGGTAGTGGGAGGGGAGCCCATGGGACCTCCTGAGGTCAGTCTTCAGTCCTGCCCATGCTCACTGCAGCGTCAGCACTAAGATCAGAGCAGGCTGCCCTGGGCTTTATCCCTTTGGGGGTTGAAAACCTCCAAGGATGGAGACTACACAGCCCTCAGAATTCCATGTTTTCTCCCTAAAATATCCTATAGGTCTCTCCATGTCCTCCAAGGCAGCAGCTGCATCCCCAGCTGGTTTCCCCTGCAATCAGGACACATTCCAGGCTGGACCCTGAGATTCCCCAGGGTTCGCTCCTCTCCACTGAACCTACGAAAGCCGAATAAATTTTGAATCCCACTAACTGTCACAATTGTAACATCCTTTCCCAGGGACTCTAGTCCAAAAAAAAAAAAAAAAAAATTGGAAGGGATGGAAAACCCAAACTGTGACTCACCGTTGGAGGAGCTGCAGGGACAGGTCAGGGATCTCGCAGGGTTGGGGGTCAGCAGTGGAGGCGGCAGGGCAGGATCTGGAAAGACAGCACATCTCAACACCCTGAGGTGCCCAGCCAGTCCCTCTCCCCACACAGAATGCACAAGAGCAGCCTGCCAGCACCACTGCCATGGCCAAGGGCAACAGCAGGAACAGGGGAGCCCAAAGGCAAATCAGCCCTGAACAGAGGAAACCTCGGTAATTGTTTTATTCCAGTGGGTACAAAGTGCTGGTCACTGATTCCAGGACTGAGAAAAAGAAGGAAGAATCCTGACCACTGCCCCATCTTCATCCACATTACCCATGAACAAGGGGGCTCAGGCAAGGATTTGGGATTGCTGGAAGGACAAAGGGTTGCAGGGAAACCCCAAGCCTTCTCCCCACTGCCAGTGTGGGCACAGCCCACAGATTCATGGGGGAAGAGATTGTGTTTGTCTTCCAGGTCACAGGTTTGAGTTTATCCCAAGCCAAGGCTTAACCAGCCAGGGAATGCATCATTAAGGAATTTGTCAGCAGTTTTCTTAATCAAATCTTGGTCCACCTCCCAGCAGCTCTGCTCCTTCTTATGTTACACTCCTTCCACTCTTCCATCACAGGCTGCAGGGTGGGATCCCAGCCATGACCCCATGGTCCTGAACCCACAGTCACTCAGGATGCTGAGGGAGTAATTTCTCAACAGCAGAACAATCAGATCCCAGAAAATCCCACCTATTGCTCCCAGGTAAAAGCACCTGAGGATTAAAGGAATTTAGTCTTGGAGGGGAAAAGAGGAAACACAGAGGCATGGACAAACCTTCTACAAAGAGGGTTTGACCCCATGGCATCAAGAGGATGCCAAGCTGAAGGAACTGTGTGTGCTTCCAGCTCATGCCCAGCCTCCAAGGTGAGGTGACAGGCACTTCCATGTGGGAGCAGGTCCCATGCCCAGTCCTATGGGGCTGTGAAAAATCCCTGCTTTTGCTCAGGCAGGGGAGGATGCCCTATTCTACCATCCCAAATACCAGCAGGTTTTCCCATATCCCATACTCCATACCACTCCCACTTCCCAAAAATACTAAAGCCTGTTCCAACACCCACCCTGCCTCTCCTTCGAACTCAAGACTTCATCTTACCCTCACTGGTGAGTTCTCGGCTGTTTGTGCCCATTGGGAACCTTCCTGGGGATGTTTGGGACCACCTGTGTGAGGTCCAAGCTCCACAGAAAGCACAGAGAGCTAGGAGCTGTCCTCTGGCTTTGCTGTGACCCTCCAGGGAAAATTCCAGGTCTTTGGGAAGAAATGTTGTGCAGTGGTGAGGGATGGCTGGGATGGGATGGGGATGGGAATGGCTGGGATGAGATGAGAGGAGATGACATGGGATGGAATGGGGATGTGATGAGGTGAGATGGGAATGAGAATGAGGGGGCAATGCTGGAATGGGATGGGATGAGATGTGATGGAATAGGGACGGGATGGGGCTGGGGCAGGATAGGATGGGGACAGGACAGGATAGGATGGAATGGGATAGAATGGGATGGAAAAGGGATGTGATGGGGATGGGGCTGGGACAGGATAGGATGGGATAGGGATGTTCTCCCACCGTATCACCAAACCCTGAGCTATAGCACACCCTACAGACGGGAACATCAGTGAGACGGCTCCATCTGCATTGTCCCCCCCCCACCCGGGGGGCTGTGAGCCCCCATCACGCTGGAGAGGATCCTGCCTCCATCCACTCAGGAGGCAGCAGCCCTCGCAGCGCCAGGATCTGCTTTGTTCCGCTGTTTGGGGTTTTCAGCAGCGCCGCTCGCGGTGCAGGGCAGAGAACGATCCTCCCCTGACCTGTGTTCCCGTCATCCGCCTTCCTGGGCGTTTTACGCAGGCAGAGGCAATGATTTTAATGTCCCAGTGAACAAGCTGTCGGGATGCATCAGCCTCAAAGGGCAGACCTGATTCAGAGCTGGCTTCTCCTCCCGGGCACTGCCTGGGCAAGGAAAACCAATTCCAGCTCTGCTCACACACACACACACATGCACACGCATGTGCCGCTGGTGCCTGTGATTTTCCAGCCTTTTTAACTAAAAATCCCTGAAAACCCCAGTGCTGAGGAGGGTGAGGCGGTGAGGCCGGGGCAGGGGGGTCGGGGATGAGGCACCTCTGGGCAGGAGGAGCGGGTGGCCCCGCGGGCAGAGCCGGGGTGACGTGATGGGACCTGAGCGCTCCGGAGCCCCGTCAAGAGCCTGGGCAGAGACGAGCTGAGAAAAGCCATGAGCGGAGCTGACATCTGCCCCCTGGGCGGGTACCTAATGAGCGGAGACATTGTCCATTTGGGGAGACGAGGTAAAGTTAAAAGATTTCCGAGCTGACACCTGGCAGCCTCCATCGGTATTCCGGGTGAAACAGCAAGGGAGGGAAAACGGAGACGGGGGGGTTGAAACCAGTCATTCCCGGGCTCCACAGGGGTGCGTGAGCTGGAGTGGGACAGTGCTGGCATCTCAGCGTCTCATCTACGCTGCCCAAACCTCCCCTATTTGTGATTTTTCTGCCGGGTTAGAAGAGAAACTGGTGCTTTCTGGGAGGTGGGAGGGGTCTGGCAGGGTCCCATGTGGCCCCATGCCCGGCCAAAAGGCAAGCAGCATGGCAGGGAGAGCATTCCTGGGTCCTGCAGCACATCAGACATGCTCTCAGCTGAGATCTGGGCACGGGCTCCTGTGTCCCCACAGCCCCCCACACGCTGGGAGCAGGATGGCACTGAGCAATGCCCCAGCCCCCAGCATCACCCTCCCGCTGCTTCCACAAACCTAGTTCAGTCAGTCCCTATAAATCCAGCCTCCCTAAGCCCACTTGTCACCAGCTCTTCCCTAACTCACCTCCAGCCTCTTCGCTACCCACCACCTTCAACGGGCGCCTGGTGACAAGACGGGAGCGACGGAGCGAGCGGGAGAAGGGAGAGCCCTGTGTCGCCTCTACTGCCTCCCAGTTTTTCCCCCTTGGGAAAACCTGGCTCTGAAAGCGCTTGTGAGCCACCAAACGCCCCCATTTCCCCCCCCGGAGTCCCAGCAGAGTGGGAAAGCCCACACTGAGAGGCTCTCCTCCCCACCTGCCTGCCGGCTTTCCCAGAGGCCAAGTGGATTTACAGGGAAGTCCTCTCCTTGGGACTCTCCTGGATGAAAAGGGGAGATCCTGAAGCATCCTCAAGGCCTTCCACCAGCCTGAAAAGCAGCTTAAAAAACCCGCCATTGCTCCACATGGTTTTCATCAGCTCCATCAACACCCTTGGGTTTAAACCCCATTTCAAGCATGATTTTCACCCGCTCCAGGGATTTTTGCTCCTTTCCAACAGATATAGCCAGAAATGCCCCCAAAACAGGGTGCAACCCTTTCCCTGGGATGCCTGGGAGAGGAAACAGCAGCTGGGCTCTGGCTGCTCCTCCCTGGCACCCGCTGACCCGCTGGGCTCGAGCAGATGGAGCAGCCACAAATCCCCCCATAAGCCAGGGAAGGGACTAATCTCCTAGAGGACAAATCAGTTGGCGAGGGGGGGAAGCTCGAGATTTCACCTTTTCCTCCCTCTTCAGGCAAAGGCACACCCAGCAGGGGTCCCAGAGGGCTCCCAGCATCCCTGAGGGCAGAGAGGGAAGTGATGGGGCTTTGGGTACCTGCTGTAGGCCTGGTTTGGGGACAAACACTTAGGTCCCAGCAAGCTAAGCCTTACATGCCCTATGCAGGGAGACATGGCAGCTGGTGTGTCCTTGAGAAAAAAAAAAACACATCTGGTGAGCTCTTAAAACTTCTAAAGTTTTCGTGCTCCACAAAAGGCTGAAGTTTCTTCCAGACTGAGAGGTCCTTGGTGGGCACAGGAAAACGGAGGAGCAGCCACTGGCAGGAGACAGACCGTGCACAGGGGGAATCCCTGGTCCTTCCTCACTGTTGGAGAAGGATTAGGTCCCTTGGAGTGGACTAGTTCAGATCCTCAGGATGGGATCTGGAGAACCAAACACGCTCCCTCCAGAAGGATTAGGAGCGATGTAACGTGCTGATATCACAGCACTCGCGTCAGCGCCGAGCCCCACAGCAGACCCCACCAGGGACATCCCCCACGGCCACGCTGACCCTGCATCCTTCAGAACAGTGTTCCTGCCCAGAAGACCCCAAAACAGAGGTCAGTCACAAGGACACACAGCCTGGTCCTGCTCCTGGGACCACCCACAAGCAGCCAACTCTCTCTACCTCATTTTCCTTCTGCACCAGAGGCCGTGGAGAGCAAGAGGATCAGCAAATTTGGTGCCACCCCCTGTTCCTCTGGGTTGTGTTGTTTTATCCTTTCAGCCTTTCTTTCTTCCCTTGCTGAAGGGCTGGAAAACTCCTCCTGCGTGCTATCAAGGGATAAATGTCTCACCAGATATCGTCAGCTCTACTCAGAAAACTCCGAGGTGGGAGAGCTGGTGCGGACAGGCACAACAGCTCTCAGAAATGCTTGGAAGGGGAGTGCTGCAGCCCAGGGAAAGGATGGAGAATGCACAGGCTGGGACATGTGGCATCTGGGTATGGACTGCACCCCGGTTCTTGGATGGAGGAGCACAGATGGCCAGCAGAGCCTGGTGAACCCTTGGACGAGGTGTAACACCCACCAGCACGGCACAGCACAGCATCCCCCTGCCCCTTCCCTGGGGAACCAGACCTCCCTGGCACATGGCAGTTTCAAGTCCTTGAAACTCATCCATCCCCATGTCCTCGAGGGGGAATTTTGGGAAAATCCCCAAATTTTCGTCGGGAATCCCCAGAAAAACATGTTTTCCAGGTGGGGAAACTGAGTCAAAGAGGAAACCCCCATGGAGAGGCCTAACCATTGCCTCGATGTTATCAGTCCAGTAAAAGCCTTTAAATAGTGAATCATTTCCATATTTTAAGGAAATCCAGAGGCACAGTGAGTGAGCATCTCTGAAGGTCTCTGGTCCAGCTCCTGCCCAGAGCAGGGTCACTCCAGAGATGGATTAGCCTGCCTGGCACGAAATAATTCCACCCTGAAACCTCAACACTTCTTCCAAGCCCTCCATTTTCCGCCTGCACAAAAAGGGAGGAGATGTTCCCCGGGTGCTCTCACCCACTGCCATCACCAAAAGTCCTCATTTTTATCCCTTTCAGGAGCACAACAGGTAGCAGGGACCTCACCATAGATCATCCAGCTTCCCAGCATCGCCTGGATAAAAGGGCACTACCCCATGGTGGTCCCCACAGTGACTATGTCCCCGTGCCCATGGTGATGTCCCCATGCCCACTCTGATGTTCCTGCACCACGCTGGTGGTGTCCCCGTGCCTGTTGTGGTCACACACCACCCCTGGGCAGCATGGAGCCGCTCTGGAACCGCCCTGCCACCAGGCCTTGTGTCACCTGTGCCACGGAGGAACACACCACCATCAGGCAGGAGTCCCCTGGGCAGCTGTGGACCCACGGTTGGCTCATTCCTGCCTCCTTACCCCCGGAGTCGGTTCCCCGCGCAGCGCGGCGTGGAGGCACATCTGGCAGTGTTGGGAAGGTGGAGCTGCAGCTGGAGAGGTGGCTCTTTCCCTGGGGAATAAAGGGAGGAGAGTCAGGCTGTTATGGGGCAGAAGTAGCCTCCAAACAATGCGTCCTGATGCCCCCCACAGCAGGTTCCTATCCCAGGGACAGCCACACAGGCGCTTCAGCAGCACCCATGCTGGAGATGTCATCACCCCAATTCCCTGAGGATTCCCTAAGGACAAGCAGGTCCTAGATGAAGCTTTTCCCAATCCAGCTGATCAGAGACCTCCAGGGCCCTTGGATTTTCAGGAAATCATCACCTTGTGCTGGGAAAGCGGGGACAAGAGGGTTTGCTCCTTGGTGGCAGGGATTCATGAGTCATCCTCCAGCCACTGCCCTTGAAACAGAGCCAGAAAAGCTTTTACCCAAAGCAGCCAGCAATAGGATACCAGGGCTGGAGCTCCAGGATTAACCCTTTCCTGGGAGAAGCTGACTGGCTGCCCTCCCATGCAGATCCTTTCTCCTCCTCTGGTCAGTGCTGAGTTTCCCCACTGTGTGCACAGTGTGCCACGAGACCCCAGTGCTGCTGCTGGACTAAATGGGATTGGAAACACATGCCCCCCACCTGGGGAATGGCATTTCTCTTCCACATGTCTCATCACAAAGCCTGCCCAGCCAGCAGGACAATGTTTGGGGTTCGCCAAAGGAAAAAAAAAAAAAAAAAAAAGAAAGGTGGAAAATTTAAAGCACTTTGTTTTGCTGCTTTTGGGGGGGGGGGGAAGCTCTCGATTCATGCACTCCTGAGTCTTTGCTTCATTTAGGAACCTGCCAGCTATCCACAGTTCCAATGGGATCCCCACTGATCAATGTGCCAAATCTTGATGGGATTTCCCCAAAATAGGGGGAACCAGCCAGCTGGAAAATCCCATATTCCCTCCTTGACAGAAAGCAGGCACTTGGGGAGGACAGGTGGGAATTTCTGTGTTACAAGGGAGAGTTTCTCCCTTGCAGGCAGACTGAGAGGTGCCAGCACCCACCTTTCCTGCCAGCCTTATGAAAATGGACCTATTTCTTCAACGTGGAAAGGTGGGAGCCTCAACCCATGGCTGTGCCAGTGAGCATGAGCATCACTGAGCTGGGACAGGCTAGGAGGATGAAGGATGCTCCTTGCCCTGGGCTGGGAGCAAAGGATCTATCCAGGGACACCATACATGCAGGGCTGGCTGCAACAGCCCAACCTCCCTGTGCAGGGCCCCAAACAAACCCAGGCTCTCCTGGGATCACTGTAAAGAAAAAGGTAAAGTGCTGGGAGTTATATTGACCCACTAACCACAGCCCCATGGATCCAGGGCTCTCCACAGGGAGCCAAGCATCATTTGACCCACCCCAGCAGCCTGGCAACAGTTTCAGCCCCTGCATGGACCTGCCCTGGCCATTTAAATCAAGCTCAGACGGGGATTTCCCTCTTGCATCTTCCCACAGGCCACTGCAGAAACTCTCCTAGAAAGCACGGATTAGGCCACAGAGATTTTGGGTGCTTTCTTCACCTGTCCTGGGTTCTCTGGGCACAAAGGGCCAGGGGAACACCCTGCAGCACAGGGCTCTGCAGCGTTCCCGGGGGGCCATGCAGCATCCACACGGGGTGGGGACAACTCCGCAGCGCAGCCGATGCTGGAGGATGCTGCACAGGGCTGGGCTGTGGCAAGGACAGGGCAGCAAGGTCTCACCCAGGCCCCGGGGAGGAGATGGGCCATAAACGCTGCCCCAGGGGCAGGATCTGAATAAACTGAGCTCTCCAGCCAGCTCCATGTAGAACAGGGTTGATGGCTCCAGTAGGGAGGGGTCAGCAACCCCAGCGCAGGGCATCATGTGCTCCCTGAGGAACCAGCCCAGTGATCTAGTGGGTGGCATCTGTGCCCCTAGCAAGGGGGGTTAGAATCAGATGGTCTTTAAGGTCCCTTCCAACCCAAACCATTCTGTGATTCCATGATTCTGCGATGATTCTAATTTTGGAGGAAGGACACAAAGTCCTGGCTGGGGAAATGGGCTCCCTGGAGATGAGTGGCCCAGCCACAGGGGAAGTTTGGAGGCCTGGGACCCCTTCCTCCCCCCAAACACTGCAAATACACTGGGGCTGTATTTGCACTGGTGGGGCTCGGTGACCAGCACGCCCAGCACTCATAAACGACCACAGCCTGACACTGGTGGGACCCAGTGGATGCTCACGCCCAAAAACCAGTAGCCAGGGGTCAGGAACACCCACCAGACTGGCACTGGCGGGACCTCATGGGATGTTCCCTCCCAAAAGCCATGCAGCATCCCTGCCGTCGCCCACCCATCCCCACGCACACTTCTCCCTGCAGTGGCGAGCGGGGGTGTCTGGAAAGTCGCTCCCCTTGGAGACCCCTACTTGTCCCCACGTGGGGACCGCACTTTGGGCTTGTTTCGGCAGTGCCAGGGAGCATCCCAAAGCCGGGAGCCAGGGACCGAAAAACTCCAAGCAGCCTCGAAGAGCCGCCCAGCCGGGGCGGTGGCAGCGCACGGGGGGAAGCCCTGGGGACGGGTGGACACGGGAGACTGGGTGGGTGGGTGCACGCCCCCCGCTGCCCGGAGCGATGCCGCACCGGGAGCCGCCTCGTCCCGCTGCTCCCACTACCACACTCATCCGCATCCCCGCGTGGGGGACCCTCCACCCCCGCTCCAGGCACCGGGGCAGCCCCTCTGGCACCGGCAGCTCCGTCCCGGGGAAGGAGAAGCCCTACCTGTGTCCGGACGGAGCCACGGACGGGCGGACGGACTGAAGGAGGGCTGGGGCAGAGCGAGGCAGCGGCAGGGGCGGCGGCAGCCGGAGCCCCGCGGGTGCGCCCAGCCCGGCCCCCAGCCGTGCCCGGCCCCCCCGGCTCTGCCCGGCCCCCCGACTTCCTGCCCCTGCCCCGTCCCTTCCCTTCCCGTGCTCCTGGTCCCGTCCCTGCCCCATCCCAAGACTTTCCTTGCCAGCCCCTGCCCCAGGCATTCCCTCCCCTGCATCAGCCCTTCCCTTCGCCAGCCCCTGCCCCAGTCTCTGCTTCCTTCCCTTCCCTCCCCAGCCCTTCTCTGACTCTGCCCCAGCCCTTGTCCCTGCCCCTAAGCCTACCCTAGCCACTCTCGTACCCCAGCTGTTGCCCCTGCCAGGTCCCAGCTCCTGCTCCTGCCGCATCCCACGCCCCTGTCCCTATCCAAACCCCTGCTCCCGTCCCTTACCCAGTCCCTGACCTCCCCTTGTCCCTGCCCTTCTCTGGCCCACCTCTGCCCCTGCTCCGGCCCCTGCCCATGTCTCAGACCCTGCTCAAGCCCCAGTCCCTTCCCCAGCACCAACACCAGCGCCCTGTCCCAGCCTCTGCCCTTAAACCTGCTCCACCTCTGCTACCCCCTACTGCAGCCCCTAAACCTGCTCTGTTCTGTTCCTACCCAGCCCCCGCCCTGGAGCGGCTGTGTGGGAGTCCCAGGTGACACTGCTTAGGGTGATTGCCCCAGAGCGGTGGCAGGGGCGTTGCCGGGATGCACAGCATCACTCTGGCCCCCACCCTGGGGCGTTCTTGCACCCAGATCCTGCTGCATACAAGGAAGGGACCTTACCCTGCCACCATCCTGGCGATCAGGGATGGAGGCACAGATCCCACGCGCCCGGGAGAGGTGCAGGGTGGGGACAGAGAGCTGTCGGACGCGTCAGCCGTGGTCTGGCCACCCTCCCCGGGACCAGCTGGGGGGCTCAACGGGACTGGAAGCCTCTGGGCAGGAATACCCCAGGCTGCCTGGACCCCTCACAGCCTGGGCGGGGGCGAAGAGGTGTGTGTATGTGTGTGTGTGTGTGAGGTGAGGGGTGTGTGACAGTCTCCGGACATCTGGGATCCTGCTGCCGCACTTCCAGGCGGGAACATATAAATATTTCAGCGGTATAGCCGAGCCCTGTCAGGTTGCATTTGCTTCTGGCAGGCTGAGTGCTGGGAGAGGGGGAGGAGAGGCAGGGAGAGAAGATGCTCTTGGATGATGCTCTCTCAAGATGCGTCATCTCCCGGCAGACGGGGCATCAGCTCCGGGGCCCGATTCTCGAGGGGCGCCACCTCCACTCGGCTTCCCTCTACGGATGCTCTTCCCTTCGGGAGAATTGCAGGGCCGTAGTTGCTGATGGCCGGACTCACCCCATAAGCAAATCTCGGGGGCTGCTGCCAGGCTGGGCAGGGAGGGGTGGGGGGATGAAAATATTCGGGAATTTGCTTGGAGCACAGCAGGCAGCGAGGCGTCCAGGATGTGGTACACCCCAGACTGTACCCCCCCCCGGCCCCCTAAAAAAAAAAAGAACATTAAGGGGGACACAGAGACAAATCCAAGCAGCTCAGGGGAGTTATCAGGCGGGGAGAGGGGGCAGAGAGCGTCCTCCCGGGCCCCGCAGCCCAGAGGCCACAGGAGGCGGGCGGGGAGCTGACCACGGCCGAGCGGAGCTGGGGAAGGGGGCGTCCTCCCCCGCCCCGATACCTTCCGAGTCTGATCTGCCCCTCTATCGGACACGCAGCCGCCGGCGCTGCTGCCACGCGGGGATGGCCAAGACCCCTCCTTCTCTGCCAGCTCCTCCTCTTCCTCCCGCCCGCTGCCTTGTGGAGCTTGTGGTCCCCGCACTGCCCCGCACGTGGGGCATGACTACATTTCCCGAGGGCCCTCCCCACGCTCCTCCTCCTCCTCCTCCCCCTTGTCCTCGTTGTCTGCGGGCTCGCCGTGAGCGCGGCGAGGGCAGCGCGGGGGAGCCCCGGCAGCCCGGCCCGCAGCCCCCATGCCCGCCGCCCACCAGGTACGGGGGGCGCAGGGGGGCCGGGGGTGGGCCGTGCCCCCGGGGTGCCCGCGGATTCGGCGGTGTGAGCGCCGCCGGACTGCTGGGGGTGTGGGGTTGCCCCCAGGGTAGTGCCCCGTTTCAGGGGGAGCCGGTGCCGCGCACCCCCCTTCCCCAAAAACAAACCCTCCTCTACCACGTGCACCCCAAACCACCCCGCAGCACCCATCCCTCGGCTGCTGGGGATGGAGGGGGGCAGAAAGGCAAATAGGTGCCCGCACAGTGGGCGAGGGTGTGTTTTTTTTGGGGGAGCTTCCCACGCCTCGTTTTAGGGAAGGTGCTTCAGGGCTCGCGCACCCCAATTCTGCTTGGCAGCTCCCCACGAAACACGATCGTGCTTTGGCAGCTTCGCTTCTGTGTCACCGACGCGCGGCTGGGGGGAGAGCATCCCTCGGCTTCCCCCCCCTCCACCTCCCCAGAGCTGTCCCCTCGGGACTGTGGTGGCCGTGGCTCCGCGGAGAGCTGAGCCTGAGCTCGGCGACCCACGCCGCCCGTGGGCCAGGTTGACAACGGCACAGCGTGACAGTGATCCGTGTCAAGGTCACACCAGGATAACCCGGCGATAAGCAGGTTCACAGAGTGATAGCGGCCCGTGCTCTGCTCGTCTCCCTCCCCCTTCCTTCCCCCTCTCCCCCCCTGCTCCCTCTCCCTCTTCCACTCCCTCTTCTCTGCTCTTCCTGGCTTGCACCAGGGATGAAGGATGGAGCGTTCCCTGGGACTCAAGCCCGCTCACCTTGAGTAGGCAGCTCCACGGATGTTCCAGAGAGGGTGGAATTAAGACCAGCCAGGCGGATTCTGGACTGGACTCCCTCCATGTGTGGGGACACACCTGCTGGGAGTTAAGAGCTGGTGGTCCTGGCACTGGAGCAGCTTCACGGAGCTGCATCCTGGGTTTAGTGCAGCTGGTTTTCCTCACTGGGGCAAATGGGCACTTTGCTTCCCACTGCTGCTTTTTTTTTTTGTTTCACTCACGACCAGCTTTCCCTGGCCTGTGTTCCCATTAGCCATGTGTGTTATGTGGCAGCATGGGGAGGCTCCAGAGGTGAGCCTCCCAGTCTCACCTCAAGGGGAACACTTGGGACTGGGACCATGGACTTGTTTTCTAGTGACCATGATTAGTTGTTCTGCAATTAGCAGGGTCATCAGGTTTCTAGACCTTGGATTGGCACACGTGGAATTTTATGGCGTGAAAAGTACCGTCAGTGACCTGTTGTCAGAGTGGGGAACACCCAGTCCAGGCCTTCTCCTCATCGCTTCCCTCATCCCGTGACTGCTAATCAGGTCTCCTGGCACTGCCAGATTTCCTGCAGCCAAACCTCAGGATCTGAGCTTTTAATCCTTCTCTGGGCCATGAATCTCGTGGCATTTTGCATTCTCCCCAGGCTGGGCATCGTGTCCTGCCGGGAAGAGCCAAGGGGCAGCCGCTTGCCTGTGCCTCAGCCAAAGTCCTGCCAAGTGCCCAGCTACTGTATAACGTGGCGGCCCCGTGCCCAGTGTGCACATTAACTCGCTTCCACAACCGGCACAGTCCCAGTGGCTCCTGCCGTTCCCCTCCGGAGCATCCCCGCCACGGAGCATCTGCATCCCCCTGGGTCAGAGCTCAGAGGGAAGCACTGCTTAAGGAAGCGCTAAAACCAACACCACCCCCCCCCTTCCCCTCCGACTCTTAAAAGGGAGGAAGAGGAGGTGCTGGGATCTGAGGACGCCCCACTGTGGATCCAGGTGCTCCGTGCATCCCAGGCTCCGGATGCACGTGATTTACAAATGCTCCTGAAATGACACACCCTCCCCCCGGCTTTTGCACAGCGAGACGTGCGGCTGCTTTTCTTCTTCTTCCCAGAACACCTCCTGCTGAGAAGGTAGGGGTATTTATTTGCCTTTGAGATTCTGGAGGAATTTTGATCCCTTGCCAAACGCTGCTTTTTCTCCAGAAACTGCAGTGCCGTGGTTTTCCATGCATTCGAGAGAGCCTGCGGACAGAGAGAGGCCGCCTGGTCCGGCAAAGCCCGCGTAGCTGATGGCTCCCAGGATAACGCTGCCGTCCTGCTGCAGGGCCATGCCCAAGAAGGATGATGGTGCCAAAAAGCCGGCGTCAGAGACGGTGCCGGACCAGCGCTGGAAGCTACAAGTCTTCTACCTCTGCTTCTACGGCTTCATGACACAGATCCGGCCCGGGGAGAGCTTCATCACCCCCTATCTCCTGGGTCCCGACCAGAACTTCACCAAGGCAGAGGTGAGCCATGGGCACCCTTGTCTCCCACCCTGGTGTCCCCCTTTCCAGCCACGGTCACCACCCTGGGGCTGCCCGGAGCATCCCTCTGTGGTTCTGGGGTGCACCGGGGTGTCACGTGCTGGGCACGATGGTGGTGTGTGGTGACTCGTGGTGGTGCTTTCTAGGGGGAGAAGGTGGTGAGGGGTGGGTCCCTGTCTCCCTGGGCTTTGAGTCACCCTGTCTCCTACGTCCCAGGCTCAGCTTGCCGTGGCATAAGACCTCATGCCCAGGCTAGTAACTGATTTTGGGGGGTGAAGCTTGATCCCTGCCCACCTGGGCAGCCTGTTAGATGGCAGGGGGTTGCCTGCTGGGGAGACTTTCCATGCTGACACTGTGCACCGCTGGGCTGCTGGCAATGATGGGGTTAGACAAGGAGGGGCCACATGTCATCGTCCCTCAACCAAGGGATGCTGGCCCCGGTCCCAGCCGGCTGCTGTGTCTGTGGGAACGCTGTGTCCTGGCACAGGAGGGGGCTGAGGCTCAGCCAGACCCCCAGCCTGGAGCATGCTGCTGGTCACATTCCTCCCCGGGGAGGTGCTGCGATGGAGGTCAGCAGCTGGTGCCCACACAGACCACATTCCTCCAGGCTGGGGGGCAACCCCAGGGATGTAACTGGTGCTGAGCCCCTCCTTGCCTGCATGGCAGGTGACCAACGTGATCACGCCGGTGCTGTCCTACTCGTACTTGGCCGTGCTGGTGCCCATCTTCCTGCTGACGGACTACCTGCGCTACAAGCCCGTGCTGGTGCTGCAGAGCCTGAGCCACATCTCCATCTGGCTGCTGCTGGTGTTGGGCACCTCCGTCCTGGCCATGCAGCTGATGGAGTTCTTCTACGGCATCACCATGGCCGCCCGCATCGCTTACTCCTCCTACATCTTCTCCCTCGTTGCCCCGTCCCGCTACCAGCGGATGGCCAGTTATTCCCGCTCCGCCGTCCTCATGGGTGTCTTCACCAGCTCGGTGCTGGGCCAGCTCTGTGTCACCTTGGGCGGCGTCTCCTTCCTCACGCTCAACTACGTCTCCTTGGGCTTTGTCAGCTTCGGCCTCGTCCTCACCCTCTTCCTTGAGCGGCCCCGGCGCAGCCTCTTCTTCAACCGGCCGGGGGCAGCCGGTGACGAGGCTGCATCCACGGAGCTGGTCAGGATGGCCGAGGGGGACGGCGGCGGGAGGGCGCGGGGCTGGCGGGACGCGGTGCTGTGCCGGATGCTGCGGGAGGTGGGGGCGCTGGCCAGGCAGCCCCAGCTCCGCCTCTGGTCCCTGTGGTGGATCTTCAACTCAGCTGGGTACTACCTGATGCTGTACTACGCGCACATCCTCTGGAACGAGATCTTCCCCACCACGGACAACCGCCGGGTGTACAACGGAGGGGTGGATGCGGCCTCCACGCTGCTGGGTGAGCTCGTGTGGGATGGGGACACTGGGGATGGAGGGGGGGGGCCTCCTCATCCTGCTGCACCCTCTGGGAATAGCTGGAGAAACATGGAATGTGGGGGGACACCCTTTATCCCTCTACATCCCCTGGGAACGACTGGGGACAGTGTCCCTTAGGAATGGTGGTCCTTACGGACTGTTTGGGAATGGTAGAGGGTGGTCTGGCTTCGGGGATGACCTGATCATCACTGGGCTGGGTCCCAGCCTAGGCCAGGTGGCCCCTGAGGTGCTCACAGCATCCCTCATCCCTCCCCAGGAGCCATCGCCTCCTTCGCTGCTGGCTACGTGAAGATCCGCTGGACGCTGTGGTCGGAGCTGGTGATCGGAGTGGTGACGGCATTCCAGGCAGGGCTGCTCCTGCTCATGAACTCCACCACCAACATTTGGTTGTGCTATGTTGCCTACGTCCTCTTCCGTGGCTCCTACCAGTTCCTGGTGCCAATTGCCATGTGCGTGGAGCCCCTGGGGATCTGCTCCCACCCCGGCAGCCGGGTTGACACCAGGGGTTCACCAGTGCTCCCGTTTTTCCCAGTTTCCAGATCGCTACCTCCCTTTCCAAAGAGCTCTGTGCTCTGGTCTTTGGGGTCAACACCTTCTTCGGCACCGTTCTGAAGACCATTATCACCGTCATCGTGGCCGACAAGAGGGGCTTGGGCTTATCCGTGCATCCCCAGGTAGGGATTGGGGGATGCCATCTAGGATGGAGGTGCTCCCTGAGTGGTGTGGGATGAAGGCAAGGCTTCAATTGTTGTTCTTTTCCCCCACCTCCTCTCTTCCAGTTCTACGTGTACTTTGGTTACTTCGCGCTGCTGGCCGTGGTCTACCTGCTGGCGGCTGTCGGTGTGGGCATCCGGCACAGCCGCCGCAGGCAGCCAGAAGAGCCAGCCTTGGCCAAGGAGCCGTGCCAGCTCCCCGTGGAGATTCCAGCACAGGAGAAAAGCCCCGAGGCAGGCACCGTGCGAGCCTGAGCGCTGGCTCCCTAAGTGAGCATCATCATCATCATCATCATCATCACCACCGTGTGCTTGTTCTCCTCTCCCACTGCTGGTGCTCTGTGCTGCTCCGTTGAGGATGTAACTCTGGGGACATGTTTTCTGCTCTGTGGAGACAGGGCTGTGCCCCCTTCCCCATCCCCAAACACAGAGCACCGTGGGATACCACACAGGGATATGGATGGGGACCCCCTGCTGCTGCGTCCCCCATCATGGTACAGAGCCAGGCTACAAGAGGATGTTTCTTTATTCAGTGCCTTTAGAAAATGGTTTATAGGACACAACCGACAACAAAAAAAAATAATATAAAGATCCACAGGCTTTAAATTGCATTAATTACACAAAATACAGTAGACTGTAAGAAATAGAGACCGTGTGACTCGCACAGCTTTTATGGTAATAATTTCCATACAATAACAAAAAAAAAAAGCTAGTAACAGATTTCTCTTTTTTTCTCTCTCTCTCTTTTTTTTTTTTTTTGGCTTTTTTTTTTTTTAGCACCTTGGATTTGCCCACACCAATTCCAACCAGTTTTTTGCTGCGCCTTCACCGCAGAAGCCCAGCAAAGGTGGCATGGGGAGGGGGGTTGGCAGTGCCTGCCCTCAGTATCACACGTGCTCAACACGCACACGCACGTAAACACACGCCAAGGGCCACACGTCGGGGCCACCCCTTCAGCCCAATGCCTTGTGCTGGGCTGACTGTGGCTGTTCCTGGGCTGCAGGGGCATGGCCAGAGGTCCCAAGGGTGTGTGGAGGGGATGGGGGAGACCAGACCCCCACCAGAGCCCTGCTGGCTGGGAGGTGGAGGTGAGGATGATAACACGATGGTCCTTACCTGGGGAGGACGGAGACCATCTGGGGGAGTCCCAGCACTGCCATGGGACAGTCCCTTGGGTGGGATACTGGGGTTTTGGCTAGAGAAGACCCCATGGCCCCAGCAGCAGAGATTTGGGTCCGATCCCAAGCTCCTGGTGAGGACAGTATGGAGCTGGGGTGCTGGTCAGGGAGCCCCCCACAGGGAGAGCACCTGACATGGCAGCGCTGAAATCTCCCTGCCAAGCATCCTCGAGCCAGCCACCCCGAAAAGAGGATCTGAGCAGGTGGGGGAACAAGCTGAAGTGGTTAAATATTAGGAGTTAGAAGAGGAGTGAGGGGAGGAGGAGGAGGAAGAAGGCAGCCAGCCCATGGCTGCCCTGCCCCGGGTGGGACCCAAGCCCCTGCCGATCCAGGGCAGGGGCCACGGCAATACTCTTTGGCTTAAGGTCTGCGGGAGAAGAAAACCCTGCGGGGTGAGAGCAGGCACGTGGAGGGAGCTGAGGACCCCAGGGGTGCCAGGGTGCAGGGTCCCCACCCCTCCTGGGGAGATGGGGGTACCCAAGGGATGGGAGGGCGGGTGTCACTTTTTGGCGGCGGTCATGAAGCTGTTCTCGATGCAGAGGACGATGAAGGCCTGCTGGCAGCTGCTGGCCACCTGCTCCAGCAGTTTTCCGGAGGCCAGCGAGGAAGCCTGGCCGGTGACGGCACGCTCCTCCGTCCGCCACGTCTCGCAGTAGCTCTCGGGCAAGCGCCGGCCCTTGGCATCCGAGCCGTGCCACACGCTCTTCTGCGGCCTGGAGGGGTGACAGGTGGGGGGGCTGCTGCTGCGTCCCCCACGCTCCAAACCCTGTTTCCCCGTTGCTCAACCCTGAACTCACCATCCCACATCCCGCAGGACGTCCCGGCCGTCGAAGGAGAGGATGCGGGCGCCGGCTCGCAGCGGAGCCCCGCTGCCCGTGAAGAGGGCTTCCCAGTTGTTGAAGAGCACTTCGTCCTGGTGGGAAGAGTCAGAAAATGGGGGAGGGTTAGCCCTGCCTTCACCCCAAGAGCATCTCATGATGCCAAGAGCATCTCACTACGTCCCAGCAGCCTCAGGGAAGGGGATGCCTCATGGATGAAGGAATGAAGGGCCTTTGGGATGCTCTGCATCCAACCTACCCGGAGGTTGACGATGGGGACGGCGGCGCGGTCAGCCCTGCGCACGATGCTGTAGAGGTCCTGCAAGCGCGAGGAGAGGAAGGCGCGGAAGGTGCCGGCCAGCCCGACCTGCCGGGCTTGCTGGAAGCACTGGAAGTCGGCGCCCCGGATGCCGCGCATGCCTCCGCTGAGCGGGGTGTTCAGGGCCACCAGGTGAAGCTGCCAAGAGGGGACAGGCGGGGCTTGAGGGACTGTGGCTTTGACCACCGTCATCACCCGCCCTCGGCTGGCACGTGGCACTCACAGCGGGCTGGAAGTCCTGGTGCACGTGGGCAGCCACGGGAGCCGGATCTGGCCGGCGGTGGATGTAGTAGCTGTTGAGAAGCTCGTGCTGGTGGTGGAGCAGGGGTTGCTCGGGCAGGCGGTGCTGGTTGGCCACCACCTCGTCCCCGCGCCAGGGCCGGGCGGTGGGCGGGGGGACGTGGTTGCGGAGGGGGTGCAGGGGCCCGCGGGGCTGGGTGCCGGCGTAGTGGAGGGTGGGTGGCTTGTCGTACACCTCGTTGTCCTGAGGAGGGGGAGACAGGCTGAGCGGGGGTTGGTGGTGGTGGTGCCCCAGGTGGGGATGGGGATGGAGGTGGTCAGGGATAGAGATGGAGGTGGCTGGGGATGAATGGTGATAGGGATGGAGGTGGTTGGGGTGGATGGAGATTATTGGGGATATGCTGGGGATGGATGGGGATGAAAGTGGAGATGGTAGGGGATGGGGATTGAGGCAGCTGGGGACAGATGGAGAAGAGGATAAAGATGATTTCAGATGGAGATGGTTGAGGATGGGATGAGGATGTATGAGGATGTATGAGGATGAAGGATAGGGATGGAAATGGGGGGTAAGGGTGGGCATGGAGAACACAGGGCTCACCAGAGCTGAACTGGGGATCAGGTTGTGCTCCTCCAACTGCAAGGGCACGGCACATCAGATCCCAGGTGTCCCCCTCTTCTCTTCCTCGTGCACAGGTGGGGGGACCCCCGGGCATCACCAAGAGTCACCACCAAACCCTCAGGGCAGTGCTGTCTGCACTCCCCGAGAGCTGGGTGCTGCAACCCGGGACAGGGCTCCCCTCTGGCCCCCCTACTCACCAGCACCCGTCGGAAGCCCCTGTGCAGGCGGACGTAGAGCTCCTGCCGGTCGGTCAGGAAGATGAGGCTGCCCTCGGGCAGCTCGTGGGCAGTGCTCAGCATCACCTGGTATGTCGGCACGGCGCGGAGCTGCGGGCACAGCACGGCGGGGGGGGGCTCAGGGACCAGCCAGCCAGCCCGCAGGCAACACCCTGCCCAGAGCCCTAACTCACCCCCAGGGATATCCCGCTAGTGCCTGGAGGTCCGGGCGGTCCTGGTGGTCCTGGGGGTCCAGGGATGCTGATGGCTGTGGGGGGAGAGAAGGGTGAGATGTGGAGGGACGCAGAGGTGCAGGAAAGGGCACATGAGATGCAAGGAAGGATGTGGCAGGGTGCAGAGAGGGGTGCTGGGATACAGGGAGGGATGTGGGGATGCAGAGACAGATGCCAGGGTGCAGGAGGGATGTGGGGGGTGAATGGAGAGATGTGGGGGTGGCAGGTGGAGGGATGCAACAGGGCAGGTACTCACCTTGCCTGTGGGGACCTGGGAAGGAGGGTGGACCAGGGGGGCCGGGAGGGCCAGGGGGACCCTGCCGCCCCTCGTATCCGATGCCAGGGGGACCCTGAGGTCCAGGAGGGCCCGGTGGCCCAACGATACTGTCCCCCTTGGGACCCTAGGCAGAGTGAGAGAACATCTCTTGGAGCAAAGCCCCCAGGAGTGCTGACCCCGCCATGCCCCTTTGCTCCCTGCCCCATGAGGTACTCACTGGCAGCCCGGGGTATCCCTGGGGCCCTGGGGGCCCTGGCAGCCCAGAGACGCTGGGACTGTAGAGTGGGGTGCTGCCCGGCTCACCCTTCTCACCCTTGGGACCTGCATCTCCCTTGTCGCCCTGTGGGTTGGCAAAACCTTAGGGTGAGTGGCCAGGGCGCACCCCGGTACCCCAAATCGTGCCGGGTTCCAGCCACCAGCACGCAAAGGCCTTACCCGCAGGTTGGTGCCAAAGTGAGCTGGGTCATAGGGGAAGTGCCCTGTGGAAAGAGGGGAAGGAGAGGAGAGTAGGGATGTGCATGAGGCACCCCTTGCCCGCCTCTGCATGGGGGGACTGATCACCTACCTGGGGGTCCTGGGGGTCCGGCATCACCTTTCTCTCCCTTTTGTCCTGGGAACTGGGGGAAACCTGTGGGCAGCAGCAGAGATGCCGTCTCAGAGCTGCAGCATCCCAGCTCGAAAGGACCGGGTTTCCCCCCAGCCCTGCCTTGCCAAGGTTCCCCAAACTGCCCAGAGGGGGCTCGGAGAAGACACCCCCTTACCGGGAAACGCTGGCAGTGCGGGATGGCTGGAGTCGCTGAAGGTCTGTGGAGATGCAAAGGAAGTGGCTGCAGAGACAGCAGCATCCTTGGGGACCCCCCTCAATGCTGGTGACAGTCCAGTGTGCTAGCCCCAGCCAGGATGTCACCAGAGTATCCTTGTGCCCTCCAGCCATGCAGGGGGCACTGGGGGACCCAGTCACCAGCACCTCCATCCCGGTGACCGTGTTGTTACTCACGTTGCCACTGTTGTAGGCTATGCTGCCAGGTGGCCCAGGGGGCCCAGGAGGTCCTGGGGGTCCTGGGGGACCCTGTGGAGGGCGAGAAGATGCGTCAGGGTCCCGCAAAGTGGGCAGTCCCCACCATGGCGGGGGGACACCAGGGCCATGCCCTGCTCCAGAGGGCCAACCAGCCCCTCAGAGAGGGAGACATGTGCCCTTTGCCCGAGAGATTGGGGTCTGCAGGGAGACCCTTGCTGTGCTTCCCCCGCTCTGCAGGGCCAGCAGCAGGGGGGCTGCAGCAAGTGCTCACCCGCAAGCCCAGCACGTCTGCGGGGTCACCCTTCTCACCCTTCAGCCCGTTCATGCCAGGACGCCCCTGCGGATGAGCAGCACAGATGAGCCTCGTCCCCGCCCCCCTGCCAACCCCTGGTGTCACCTCTGGTGCTCCAGAGTCACCTCTGACACCCTGGCATCGCCTCCCCATCCCTCAGGGACACAGCAGGGTTTGGGGCTCAGCAGGTGAAGGACATGCAAACAGGGAGGGGAGATGGGGTGGAGGCGACGGCCGAGGAGACAAACAAACCGGGAGCAGGTCTTACGGGTCTGCCCGGAAAGCCGATCTCTCCCTTCATCCCTGCTCGCCCCTGGGGACCCTGGAAGGGAGAGAAGATGAGGATGAGGATGCTCAATGTGGGAGCACCCACTTGTCCCCCTTTGCCCAGGATCATCCTTGTCCCTGCCCGTGGGACACAAGGGGGATGGTGACGGTGACTTACTGCTGGTCCCATTGGTCCCCGCAGCCCCGGCTCGCCCTGCAGACAATGGAGAGGGAAAGGGCATCA